GAGTAAGGTTGCACTAATCGGATTGAGTAATCGCGAGGTATTAGGAGTATGTAATGGTTTCTTGCAGAAAGATACTGCACTAGAGAGGTGAAAGGTATGATATCTTAAAGACTCTGTCCTGCCATTCTCAAAGGCCTGTTAAACCGCATACCGACCAGTATGTTGCACTACCCTATGTGTCATTTTAGTTGCAACTGATGGAATTTAGCGACGATATAATGAAAAGGTTAGAGTTACTAAAACTTACATTAGTAGCGAATGCTTTTATGCTGGCATTGTGTGAACTCTGCCATCCTTCCCATTGATTGAAGATGCAAAGCAATAACCTCATGCAAATGCCTGACGCCAACATCATACTGTACGTAGACCCTCTTTCCATACTCCTTCAAAGCAGAGCTTCAATCATCAAGAACGACCTATGCTATCGACACTGCTGCTTTCGGTGTTCTCTTTGCCAGCTCCAAGTTCGATATCCTTCCTTACGCCATCGATGTCGGTGTCAACATCTTTGCCGATGGGTGTGTTCTTAATTCCGATCTCATCGTTTGGTTTGTTCTGTGCGTGAGGACTATCTGCATCAACCACACTGCTGACGGGAACATCTTTATCAGTCTCACAAACAGCGTCGTTTGATGGGCTGGGAACGTTCATGGCGTGAGAGAGTGTGTCGTCAGTCTGTTAGTCTACTCTGACATTCGTGACCTTTGTGCTAGCGCAGTGAGCGAGGAATGACTCGAGGAATACCTGGAACTGGGTGCGCGTGAGTTGAAGCGGAGTCGTTGGTTGAGTTGGAATCTGCATAGGCGTTGGATCGAGAGCTTCACTTGGTTCTTCGGCTTTTCCACTCCGACCATCGGTTGTTTTAGAGTAGGTGAGGTTGTCAGATGAGATGATTGATTTAAGCTCTTCTTCTGCCAATGGCTTCGTGAGGAGGCGTAGAAGAGTCGAGGGCAGGTGGTCAATCTGCTCTGCCTCATCGACAGACGCAAGTACTTCGCTAAACTGGCAAGGATGGCCTTCGATGGATTTGAAGCCGCTCTCGAGCCAATCGTTGATCTTTAGGAGTTCTGAGTACAAGTATTCGCGGGAAGCAAGCATGTCGGCAGCGAAAGCGGGGAGGTCGAGAACCTGCTCAATACAGGTGATGTGGAAATAGGCATTCGGTTCTATGCGTAAATTCAGCATGATCTTCCCACAAGTAGAAAGGAGACCTACGAGGGTACCAGGCATCGGGAGCTTTTCGCGCGCCAGTAAGGTCCCGCAGGTTGAAACGATAAATCGACTCGATATTTGGTCGCCCGCTTAGCATATTAGGGAGGCAGAACGTAGCGCGACAGTGGCTTCTATAGCTGGGACAACTTTCTAAGTACAGAGCGGAAGACTTGGAGCGCAGTCCCTCCTCGAAGTTCGTTCTGTCAATGTTGATCAAATCTTCCCAAGTTCGCGCTCGTTCAACCCGCTCATACTCTTTCCAATGTTCTTCAAATTGTTGATGCCTTTGTTCGTCTTCTGCTTTCTGTTCGGGTGTGAGTGTGTAGAGAGCAATGAGTTTTTGTCGGCGCGCCTCCCGACGAGCCTCAGCTGCAGTATCTTCTTGAGGTCGCTTCAGGCCTTTGTTGATGGCCGGGGTCGTGACGGGTGAGAGGCCTGGATGGGAGTTTTGGGTGCTCATACTTGCGGTGGAAGCTGAAAAATCAGTGGTTGTGGCTTGCAGAAGAGAAGAGTTTGCAACAGTAGACACTGGCTTGGGTTGCAGAGGAATGGATTCAGACGAATGGACAAGGAAAAGAGACATTGATACTCGACCTCAACCTATGTGGATTGCATGGTCGTGCTTGCCCTATTGCTGAAAACGCCTTGCGGCTGATGCTCCTCTTGGACAGAAAGAAAGAGAGTGGATGACCGCATGATGCCATGAACGCAATTGCTTGAAATGGAAGCCGACAACCGTTATGCTTCTAGTGACGCTTTTGCTTCATGAATCTAGCTATAACCCCCTTTTAACATGATACGTACACTTGTATAAACTACCTAGGTGCCTTAAGAGCACCTGTAGTATGGTGGACATTCAAACTAGAAGTATGAGAAGAGAAGAGAAGAGAAGAGTGAGGGTACAGTAAGCTTACATCTGGGGTACAGAAAGCTTGTATCAATTATGCCTCGCACGTAAGCGCTAAGTGACGAATAGGCCACGAATCCTTCACATCACAACTGGTACCTGGTAGGTATATAACAACGTCTTCTCCTCGGATAATTCTGGCTTCCCCCATCAGCAAATCTTTCACTCTTTTTCAGACAAGTATTCTGTACTCCTGCCGGATCTGAGTCTGTAATGTTACGATTACCATGCTAAGCTACAATCGGACTCGGTAAGTCCTTCTTATCTTATCTGAAAAGCGCTACAGTACTGCAAGACCATGCCATGTGCAGTTGCCCCCTTTTCTAATCTCAGCCACCCGAGAGCCATGTTGAGCCCCAGCCCCAACTGCCTCGATGTGCAATAGCCAGCTTCCTTCTCTTTTCCCCTTCTTCCTCTTTACCGCGCCGCTCATTCCTCTGCACAGTGCAATTCTGCACATTACACTCCTTTGAAATCCTTCCTGCAGTAATGTACACGTAGGAAACTCCCGTCACTCTCTGATTTGTTCAATCGATCACATACACTCATTTCAAACGACACCATGCGATTCGTAACATTCCTTTTAGGCGCTGCAGCCCTCCTCACGTCCGTGGCGGGACAGACTTCCACCTTGTGCAATCCTCTCAACGCCACTTGTCCCAATGACCCTGCTTTTGGCATGAACCATACCTTTTACTTTAATACCTCCTCGACTGTCACTACCTCCTTCAACATCACCGCAGGAACGCTCAACTATACATCAGATGGCGCAGAATTTACTGTGGCAAAGCGGTTGGATTCGCCCACAATCCAATCCAAATTCAATATTATGTTTGGGAGTGTGTCGGTAGTTATGAAAGCGGCCACTGGTACGGGAATAGTATCGTCAATTGTGTTGGAATCCGATGATCTGGACGAAATTGATTGGGAATTCATGGGCGGCAATTCGACTCACGCAGAAACCAACTACTTCGGTAAAGGTAACACGACTTCTTATGATAGAGCTATCTACTACCCTGTATCTTCAGACGTCCGCGCAAACTTTCACAACTATACCGTGGACTGGACAGCCGACAAGCTGGATTGGCTCATCGACTCTACCGTGGTCAGAACTCTCCACTACGCAGATGCAAACCAGGGAAGAACTTACCCGCAGACACCCATGACAGTCCGTCTCGGGATTTGGGCAGGAGGGGATTCTTCTCTCAACAAATACACAATTGAGTGGGCAGGAGGCGAGACGGACTACTCCAAGGGACCATATAACATGTATGTGCAGTCTGCGGAAATCAAAGACTACTCAAGTGGATCGGCATACGAATGGACAGATAATACCGGAAGCTGGCAAAGCATCAAGAGCCTCCCGTAAGTCGGACTCGTGCAATTCATATGAATGTTCTAAACAAAAATAGTGGAAATTCAACAGCAATGAACGCAATACTCAAAGCCCAGACCCCCACACTTTCGACCGCCCAAAAATTTCAAGCTCTCCCCCAAGCAACCAAACTCGCCATCTATGGCGGTAGCGGCGCAGCAGGCGCTTTGCTCATCGCAGCCCTTGTCTTCTACTATATCCGCCAACGACGAGCCGGTGCGCTCGAGCGCGAAACTTATAACGCTAAAATTGAGAAAGAGCGCGAGGAGGCATATATGGATCAGATGGAGCTGAAGGAGAAGGGCTATGGAGGTTGGAATAATGCGGACGTTGCGCATCAGGGCGAGGATGCGTTGGGCGGTTGGGGAACAACGCATGGGAATAACTCCCCAACCGTCCCTTCCACGCCCAAATTTCCGAATGTTTCGTCGAACGAAATTAATCCAGCGTCGAGGAATTATGGGGATTCTCAAAATGTTCCACAAAGTCCGGGCTTCCATTTGCCGAGTGCTTATAATTCTGGTGGATATCAGAGGTTTGGATGATGAGCTTGGGGAAGGACTGGGGATAAGGGTTATTTCTGTATTATTTAATGTATAGGGAGTTGGTTGGTGAGCTATACAAAGCTACGGATTGGTCATGGAGTGCTCGGCTGGGTCTGCGGCATCTCATGTCATATTACATCATAATAGTACTTGACGAGCGTAACTTTGAGCGAATTGAAATTTATAAACTGCACCAGGGGTTGTTTTGACCTCTTGATCTTATGTCATATTTGTTTGGTTATTTCCAGCCTGTTAACAACATCGATTCGGCATTGAGATAACAAGTGTCTTCCTCTCAATGCCTGCCTTATTTTTAAAACTCTCCAAAACTTCAAATTGTCTCTTCAAACATTCCTCTATATAATCACGTCCATAAAAGCAAGCAAGCAAGCACAAGCAACCCCATCTCCCTCCCCCCTTGAAAACCCCTCCTACTTCTACTCCTCATCCTCATTCCTCTGTTTAATCTTAACAGGCGCGCCCTTCCGCGCCGCCTCAACAGCATACTCCCTGTTCCCCCTACTAGTCTCCTCCCCATACCCCTTCACATGTTCTGGCACCTCCTCGACCTTATTATACGGCCCGGGAACCGGCTCGCCATACTGTTCATAAAGCGGCAACACGCCCGTCCAGATATTGTCTATATTTTGCATATCAGCAGCCGAGTCCTCGGGGACGCCTTCCCGGATCTTGGCGCTGCCGCTGGCGATTGTCACTTTTAGGATGCGCGTGCTTTGCATTTCTGATGGTCTGGGGAGGGAAGAAGAGAGGGGGTTAGATGTGAGGGTTTTAAATGTTTGGGGGGGTGGGGGTTGATTTGTGGAGTATGGGAGAAGGGAAGGAAGGAAGGAAGGAAGGAAGAAAGGGAGATAAGTCTTACATAGGCGGAACCCTTGTTTGTCTCCAACGATCCGGCACCACGGAATTCGTAATCAACTCCATCGCCCACATTTTCTCATCCGCATCCTCAACCAATGTCGCGTGTCCGAATAGGACTGCGGAGCGGTAGTTGTAATTGTGCGAGTAGGGCGTGAGACTTAGGACTAGGCCGTCGACTTTCGAGGCGCAGATACAGACTGGGAGACCTTTAGGAGGGGATGAGGAGGAGGTGGAGGTGGAGGAAGTGAGATTCATAATGCGGGATGAGACGTAGCCGTGGAGGTAGAGGTCTAGGGGCTCGGCGAGGGATGCAGAAGGGTGGGAGAATGAACCCATTTGGCCGATTAGGGGGAGGATTACGGGGAAGGGGTCGCTGGGGGAGGGGGAGAAGGATACATGGAGTACGGGGGTTGTGTTGATGATGGTGTGGATGGTTTCGAGGGAGTAGTTGGCTGGATGGAGGGTTAGGGGTTGAGGTTCACATTGGAAGGGGAACTGGGTTAGATGGATACCTTGGTGTTTATATCTGTTCACGGTGTTGTGCTCCTCTTTGGAGTATTCGAGAGAATGGCGGACCATGATGAAGGGTTTACAAGCTGGTATGACTTTTACTGATATTGAAATATGACTCCAAAGACTTCTATCCCAGACTACATTTCCGACCTTTTAACTTGTTATTATATATTTCAACGTCGTGACTCGGTGGTAGATAGTAAGACGGGATGTCAAGTACAGTATCATACAATAGGCAGGTACACGCGGACTAGCAACGCCAGTTCGAATACCCACCTTTGACTTCGCACAGCCTTACCTATCAAGTCCCCGCATCTCAAGATCCTTATCTCATCCAGCTTCATCCGATTTCATTCCAGCCGTAAATCTCATACTCCTATCTCACGTGATGGGCTTCCATTCCCCCTTCAGGGGCAAGACCGCGTTCCTTGACCTCATTCGCCAACCTAGTCCCCCCCTCAATCATCGATATCAGATTCCAAAATGCCACACCTAGAAATAGCTTCTTTCAACCTCTTCTCCGCCCAAACCGCAGCCGCCACAGGAGCCTCCCGCATCGAACTCTGCCGCTCCCCCAGCGTCGGCGGTCTAACGCCCCTCCTCTCAACCTTCTTATCCCTAAAACCATCCCCTACAACCATAACCACAACCAGAATCCCCATCTACGTAATGATACGTCCACACGCTACCTCCTTCACTTACAATTCCACCGAACTCCTGGAAATGGAATCCTCCATCAGAGACTTCAGCGAAGCGGGAGCCGATGGATTCGTATTCGGCGTTCTCACAGCAGCACCCTCACCAGCACTAGCACCACCTATCAATGTGCAAATAGATGTAGAAGCCAACAAGCGACTCGTCCGCGCCGCGGGCGGGAAACCATGTACGTTTCATCGGGCGTTCGATTGTATTCCGCGCGCGGCTATGCGGGCGCAGCTTGAGGTTCTGGTAGGGTGTGGGTTTGCGGCTGTGTTGAGTAGTGGGGGCGCGAGAACGGCGGTGGAGGGGCAGGGGAAAGAGGTGTTGAGGGGACTAGTGGAGGCGGCGGGGGAGAGAATTGACGTTATTGTTGGGGGAGGGGTCAGGGTGGGGAATGTGGGCGAGTTGATGAGGGGGACCGGGGCGAGGTGGTTTCATAGTAGTGCTATTGTTGATGGGGGGGAGGCGGCGAGTGGGGAGGAGGTTAGGGGGTTAAGGGGGGTCATTGATAGTTAGGTAGGTAGGTAGTCAAGATACCTCATACTATGTTGATGGGAGTATGTTGGAGTTAAAAAAGTATATAGTGATTCTGGGATTGCAATTCTCATAACGGCGGCCTTTTAGAACTAACCGTAGAATGAAAACGTCTCTATGTCTAATAGAGACGTTTGAATAAGATATCAATAAATATAGAAATTTTGAAAATTCCATCTCCACGTGAAAGTAGTCTCGCCATCCTCTTTGCAATGACGAGTAGAGCCTCACGAGCTGTACACAGCCCCCCTACTTTACTCCCAGCACGTAAACCTCACATCCCTGCATTATGAAATATAGAGAAATCTTTTAAGAAGAACTACAACAAAAGCACATATACATACAAACACGCGCGCCCACACAAGATGCTGGCACATACACGAGAACAATCCACTGTAATTCCAAACCCTTCTCCGGATGTTAACGGAGAAGAACCACCTCCTCCATCATACGTACACCAGTCCCAATACCAGGGAAGCCAAATCCAAATCCGAACCCAACAGCAAAAGGACCCACCTCAGCACAATTCTTCGTCCTAGGAGCTGCCTTCTTCCTGCTCTCTAACCCTCCTTGCACTAAGTATCTATGCCGTGATATCCTGTTCAGGCCCCAAAGACCTCCAGCGTAATCCTTTGAGATTTTTACGCCGCGAATTGCTGTTGGGCGAGTACAGGTGCGAGTTGTTGGCTTATCTGGGATGTGAGGGCGGCATGGGCACGAGGTGAACAATGAGTGCGGGCATGGCGGTGTGGGTGTTGGTCAGAACACCGATTGTGGTAGGGGTGGCTGGAGGCGTATCGGAAGTTGTGCTGTGTGGAGGAGTTTCGGGGGGAAGGGAGGAAGGGAATTGAGTTGAGGGAACGAGGGGAAGAGAAAGTGAGGATAGGGGTGAGGAAAATAGCAATATAGACACATGACATCCAAAACGAGGACACAATTGTAAATGAACTAAACCGACGGCCTTAAAAATGGGTATATCAGAGAATTAGAGCTCAAGCTAAATGTCTAACATGTGGGACCCACAAAGGTATTGCGATTGCATAAGCTTGATGGCTTCAAGAAACTTTTCATGAATATTCGTAACCCCTCCCCCCCTACACGCGACAAACCTACTTACTTCTCTTGTAGATCTTGCTCAGAAAGCTCTCGAAAACAGTCTTCTTCAAGCCCCCAGACTCATCAACCTCATCAATCATCTTTCTGATCTCACCGACACGCTTCTCTTCATAGTCCTTGTACATTTGCTCCAACTTCAGGTCAATGTACAGCTTCTTAACCACGGCCTCATTATCTTTGTTCTTGCGACCATAGTTTTCTTCGAGGATCTTTCTCTGCTCGGGAGTAGCGATCGATAGAGCCTGGTTGACGAGCCATGAACACTTGTTGTCTTGAATATCGGTACCGATCTTGCCAATGTGTTCTGGGAGACCGAAGTTGTCCAAGTAGTCGTCCTGGATTTGAAAGTATTCGCCGAGAGGGATCAGGATGTCTTCCGCTTGCTTCAGGTTTTCCGGGGTGGCAATATTTTGTTGGTGAAGAGCGAGTGCAACCGGGAGGTAGAAGGAGTAGTAGGCAGTCTTGTAAATAACAATGAATCGGTACTTTTCCATCGAGAAGTTGTCTAGATCGATCTTGTCTTCAGGAGCAGTGAGGAGATCACACAATTGACCAAGCTCGGTTTGGAATGTAACTTCGTGAAAGAGTTCGAGGAGGTCAACGTATGCAGGGTGGGAGCGGAAGTATTTCTTGAGAAGAGTGTAGATGGCGGATTCAAGCATGAATGCATCGTTAATAGCAACCATTCCGACCTCAGGTTGACGGTACCAGCATGGCGCACCTCGACGAGTAATGCTGGTGTCCATAATATCATCGGAGACAAGGAAGAAGGCTTGCAGAAGCTCGGTCATCCATCCTAAAGTTGAGGCTAGGAAGTACTGTTCTTCTGAAAGCGGCTTCTCGAGGAGGAGGGAGACGGAGTCGGGAACGGACATGCCGCGATTGCATTTTCCACCGATGACATTGGCCTGGAGAGACTAGATGTAGGATATATTGTCAGTTCAACGATTCTTGGTATTTGCTCGTCTCCTCGTTGGGACTCAAACTTACAGCTTTGTACCACTTGACAAACTGCTCAGGGAGGTTGTACTTCTTTGCATGGTCGAGGAGATCGTCGACCAGCTTGGGGAAGACTGACTCGAACTCCTTGAGGGTTGTAGTTTTGGCCATATCTATAATAGCAGTGGTCGCAACTGTTGGACGGTTTGGATTGATTGCGTAAGTGTTGAGGGAGGAAGGAAGGAAGGAAGGAAGGAAGGAAGAGAGCTGAGAATCCTATAATTGACGGTACACAAAGTCCAAAGGCGGTGTGAATTGGTGGGGTGGCAGAAATCAGGGGTCAAGTCAAGGTACGGCGGTACGGTGCGTGCGGTGGGTCGCGATTTCCCGCATACGCAGGTGAGGTGAGTAAATAGTCGTGAGAAGCAATCGAGACAAAATATTTGTACTTGCTCGGAAACAATCACATTTCTCTTGAATTCCGAATAAACGTCACCGCTGCTTTAGCATTACTTTGACCAGCAATCCCGAATCTCGTGCGACTATAACTAGCTCTCTCTGTTGTCATATTGTTGCTGGAGCTCGACGCGTCAACCTGGAGGCGCAACAAACAAACCACCCCCCACCGTACAGTACCTACAGCGGTAGCTCTGATTTCAATGAATATCGACTTCGCCTGGTGACTCGTGGTGACTCGCTGATAAAGCTGCCGTAACAATGGCGCTCACAGAGCGAGACACTGCACAGCTGAGAGCGGCTCTACAAGAAGCTGTAGTAAAATGCTCCGAGAGATGTCTATATCAGTCTGCGAAGTGGTACTCAATTCTCTTCTGGACCGAAGGACCCCTGCTAATATGAACACAGGGCCGCAGAACTACTCACATCCATCCCCCCAACTGATGAAGCGTCGGAACCCGAGGACTCGCAGATGACTGAAGTTCCTCCCGACGGCCTCCCTCCGATCGTCGTCACTGGAAATCTCGACCCGGAAGAAGCACAGCTAGAGGCAAAGGAGATAAATCAGTATCTTTTGGCAAAGTCGTTCTTTGATTGTCGGGAATTCGATCGTTGTGCAGCAGTCTTCCTGCCAGATACAGTCCTGTCTGGAATTTTATCATCAACTTCAACGAGAGGGCCTGAAAATACCACGAACCCGAAAGGAAAAGGCAAAGCGAGAGTATCGTCTGGTCGAGCTGATGGTAAATTGGCGCCAATACTACCAAAACTGAGTCAAAAGAGCATATTCTTGGCTTTATACGCAAAATACATGTCTGGCGAAAAGAAAAAGGATGAGGACAGTGAGATGGTGATGGGGCCCCATGATGGAGGGAATACGACCAACAAGCAACTGGTGACCATAAGTCGATATCTGGAAAATTGGTTCCAGGAGCATACTACCGAAGCCGGAGAAGTTGTTGGAAGTCAGGGTTGGCTAGAGTACCTGTAAGACATGTCCTTTGGTGATAAAGCATTGCTAATGATCTAGCTATGGTATGGTATTGGCAAAAGATAAGAGTGAAGAAGAAGCTATGCGGTGGTTGATACGAAGTGTACATCTTTATCCTATGAATTGGGGCTGTTGGTTGGAAATGACCTCTTTAATCGGACGAGTTGAGGATGTATGTAAGCTTTTTTCCCCACAAAAACCCAATACTGACTGTTCTGCAGCTTAATCGAATATCACCACACCTTCCACAAAATATCGTCTCGTTCATTTTCCATCTTCACACATCCCTCGAACTCTACCAATCAACACCCAACCTTTCAAACTCTCTGGACCAGCTTCTATCCATATTCCCAACGAGTCCTTTCCTGCTCACCTGCTTAGCACTACTTGCATACCACATCAAAGACTTCCTAGCAGCTGATGCTCACTTCAGTAACCTCCTCGCCTTACACCCTCATAGACTTGACTCGCTGGATCATTATTCCAACATACTCTACGTCATGAACCTCCGACCAAAATTGTCCTTTCTTGCACATCTCTGCTCTACGGTAGACAAATTCCGACCCGAGTCTTGCGTTGTCATTGGCAATTACTATTCATTACTATCGTCGCACGAGAAGGCTGTTCAATACTTCCGGCGTGCTTTGACACTTGACAGGTCATGCCTCAGTGCTTGGACATTGATGGGTCATGAATATGTCGAATTAAAAAATACTCACGCCGCCATAGAATCATACCGAAGAGCGGTAGATGTTAACCGGAGAGATTACAGAGCGTGGTACGGCCTAGGTCAGACCTATGAAGTGCTTGAGATGCACGCATACGCCTTGTGGTATTACAAGCGTGCAGCAGGCCTACGACCCTGGGATGGAAAAATGTGGATGGCCGTAGGATCCTGTTTACAGAAAATGGGACGGGAGATAGAAGGCATCAAAGCTCTCAAGAGAGCCCTGCTTGCAGATAGCTACTACGATGCAGGAGTAGGAAGCTCTTTTGGTAGTGGAGGTCGAGACAAGGGAGGAGCAATGGACCCTGAAGTCTTGCTACAGATAGCAGGAATGTATGAGCGAATGGAGGAGATGGGAGAAGCGAAAGCTTACATGGAGATGTGCGTCGCTCAAGAAGAAGGAGCTGCTGATATGGAAGCATCGGTTATCAATATCCACGCAGACTCGCAATCCTCGGACGACGAGTCGAGACCAACTGCAGGTGGAGCGAGTGGAGATAGGGGCACGGGAGTCACGGCTGCAACTTCGAAAGCACGGATGTGGCTGGCGAAATTTGCTATGAGGATGGGTGATTATACTAGGGCGATGCAATTAGCGACGGAGTTATGTCAGGATGGTGTTGAGGTTGAGGAGGCCAAGGCTTTGGTCAGGGAAGTCCGGGTTAGACTTGAGATAGGAAGTGGTGATGGTTAAGGTGTGTATATGTATAGTACGAGTATGGAGTAATTTGATACCCCAATGGCATAGTTCGGTTCGATGCCGGATTTGAAACGAGCAATATATAGAACCTGAACCTTGCATATACACTTCACAATTCAAGATGATGAGAATATTTAGGTAGCGCCTCATTTATCAATATTTCATTCTCTGCCAGGCCTAGGTACTGTACGCTATCATCAAAGTCCCACATATCCTTCTCCACTCCTTTACAACCCCGCCCTTCTCTATATAACCACCAACTGAAAACAGCACAAAGTGTAGTTTCAGAGCGAATTGCAGAGCAGAATTTGAGAGAAAGGGAATGAAAGCCCTCGGGCAGAGGTGGTTTACTGATTAATTGATTGACTGGTTGATTTTGATGAAAATAAACAGGAAAGAGAAAATAAAAGGGGGTTCTCGCTTACCGTGCCACCCAGCCGGGCTGGGCTACATACAGTAAGGCAGGTAGGTGCCTAGAACTCACGGTACCAAATCATAGCCAGCCCCTCAATCTAGCAATTTCTGTATATCTATGCCTACGCACTGATTGACATACGGCGTCCTGTACTGTACTGTACGTACGCTGAGGCAGATCTCGGGAGTATACCATGATCACATCTACTGTAGGAACCCATTGGATTTAAGAGATGGCGCGCCGGGGGCGGGGGTTGCATCATTGTGCATCGTTGCGGTGATGAGGGGCCGGCGAGGGGATGAATGGATGATTGGAAGTTTAGGTGTATGTACATGTTGAGTTATGTTTCAGACGAGCTACTAGCACTGATCATGTTCTCTCTGCTCTTTATTCGCACAAGAGACTCTCCACACCGGTTGGGACAGAGTTGTCTGACAATTTGACATAGGATTATCAAAGGGATTATATTGCCAAGTGATGGATGATATTGAGTCAAAGTTGGAGAAATATATCTTGTTATGTTGACTTCAACGCTGAGAGAGAAAACATAAAGGGGGCAGCGCCAAGTTTCTTGCAAACCTGAATTGATCATTGTCGTCACCCTCCTCTATGAGACTTGTTACGAGTAGAGCAACTCACTACCTTTGTGGATTATGCTGTGGCGTTTCCTTTGGTATCTACAAGTAGTAATAATTCTAGAGCTTCAATCCTGATAGCTGATGGACTTCTATACTATACCTATTAACTACCTAGGTTGACTAGGTGGTACTTTAAGATGCATTAATTGAGCTCAAATAGGGAATGATGCACATGCGCACATGCTAAGCACAACACTAGCAAGGGAGAGATTAATTGCGCTTCCGATCAGTCGTCCGTCAGCCATCTGGGGAATGAAATACCGGGATACGAAATACGAAATATTTAGCCGTCCCAGCCTCGCCCCTAGCACCCTTCCGGTTGGATGACGCTCCTTGTCGCCACCTCACCTCTAGCATCAGGCTGACTGACATGCATAACACAACCACCATCATCGCCTACCTACCTACCTACCTCGCCTACCGAGTATATCATCGCGGACTCGGACTCAATCGCGCGTCAGGTCATCACGATCACTTTTCTTTTATCAACATAACATGACATGGTTAACTTGGAAGGTACATCATAGCTACAGTATGCAATATCGCTTGTAGGCCTGATGACCAGACCAGACCACATCATGGCGACGACGTGCATCGATCAGTAAAGCGTTGATCTTAGTGCACTTTCAAAAGAAACAGCAGCAACGGGGATAATAACAGGCGTGCGTGAAGTGAGTGGAAGATAGATTGTCAAGATCCTTAGCCGTAAAATGCAGATAGAGTTTACAGTATAGATAAAGTTACGTAGAATGAGATGAAAGAAAAGCGATACAGTCTACATGCCATGCTTTCATAATAATTAATCTACAGAGATACCTGCCTGCCTACCTACCTACAACACCGGGTCACGCATGCACGCCTGCATCATGCAACAGTACTGTATGCACGAAGCATCCCTTACCCTACGGAGAAACGCTCCGCCTCCCCTCCCCTTGAACGGGTGGGTGACTAAAGTATCCCTTATAATACCCTTACCTGCATGCCATGCGATGCGGAGAGCCCCCCCTCCCCCCCTTAAACGGGTGGGTGCGTGCACGGTGCACACCACAATCCTTCCCGCCTGTCTGCCGTCTGTGAATGGCCAGATTCGCACTAGCGCGCACGGATGGCTGGGTTGGGGCTGGGCTTTTGTGGAGATGCCTTGCTTGGTTGCGTATGCCAAGACTTGCTATGCACTAAGGGTTCCCTGTTTCTGTTTAGCTGATGAAGATGAAGGACGACGACGACGAGGGATAGAGCAAGAGCCGTCATTTTGTCGTCATCTTGACTCTCGGTACCTACTGGTAGGTAGGTATCCCCATGTTTCTGAATCGGAATCTGCCTTGGCGAGATATTATGCCCTGCTTATGTAATATGGTAGTTGGAAGTGAAGGTGTTTGGATTGAATAGCTACTAAGTAAGTAGGTAGGTAGTTGATGCTTTTCGCACGTGTGAGAGTGGATTGAAAGAAACATCTGATAGTACTTACTGTACGGGCTAAGGGGTATAGAGAGAGAAAGTGATGTGCATGCAAAACCCCATCATCTTGTCCTGGGGATGAAGATATCTCCTCTTCCTGGCCTAATCATGTAGATCAAAGACCATCTGAGGATATTACATGAGGCCTAGAGTGCTTCGGCCCGTCGCATCTAGAATGACATGGCCTATGACGGGTGCGGCGTGATACATGGAGGATTCCTCCTACGCCGCCCTGCAGAAAGCGTAGATCGAGCAGTCGCTAAGTTCCATGGCATGGCGGACATGGCACACTTGATTGATATATATAGACAGCTGATCCATTTCTTCTATCCATAACACTTCCCTATTTAACTCTGCATACCCAAAAGCAACATACAGGTACAGGTCAGCCTGTGTCTACAATCATCCACAAGTCATCATCTATCATCCATTCCATCCATTCCATTTCCCCATCTCTCAACATACGATTTTCCACACACTTCGTCGTCTACCTGCCACCATGCCTTCCGCCTCATCACAATACAACACGCAACTTGCCTCTCCTCCTCCAGAATATAACGACATGGATATGCCGTCTGCAAATGCCATCTCATCATACGCTCGCTCCATGCACCGACACACGCAAAAGCAGATGGAGGCTGCGGCCTCGGCAGCACGCAGGAGGAGTTCCACCAGCACCGCCAACTCGCAGGGCACATGTGCATCACATTCCGAATCCTCATCCGACGTTGGGAGCATGGACAGCAGATCTACATCGTCAATGAGATCTTAGTGAACTTGACACGGTCTTGGGAGGCTTCGAGTGACAGGTGGTAGCTATAGGCTGATGGATGATGGATGCTCGCGTTGCTGAGCATTGCAGGAAATCGGCTCATTATTGGCCCTTTTGAGTCGTTGTATATATGTATGGATAGCGCTGGCGTTTATTGGAATGGGGTTTGAGCGGTACCGTACACATTGTTTCATCTCCCGAGCAAAGGCTTGAGATCTTTCTTTCCGAGGTATTCCTCTTCGACTAACTGATGATACATCACCATCACCTTATTGTCTTGTTGTGATACTTCCATTGTGATAGACACTTCACTCATGCAACTTACCGTTTCGCGTAGCACTTGCCATTCCATTCATACCAATTCGCTGATCGTAACTTTGCTGGGAAATCAGAAATCTTAGTCCCCAGCCCAGCATCCAAGTACTCACAATTAATGCTCGTCATCGCACGTGGCAACATGCGTCATTGCATCAGCTTCACAAACTAACTTGAACCTTTCCTTGATATTCCTCACATTCCTCTGAAGTCATCGATTCCCTGATCAATAGCTGTCAGCCCCTTTCAGAGCCGAATATCAATATAGGTCATGGTTCATTGGAGCGGTCTGGAAAGTAAGCATCTACACTACAGTACTATCCTTCACTTGTATTTATTTTTAGAACTAAAACTACCATATGACGACTTTGTCTCACTAAGCCAACCTCCTATTACTTTCTGCTGTTCTAAACGAAAGTCTAGGAAATGGAATCCCACATTTCCCTCTCGCTAATACTGACCTCTTCTGTGTGGCAGAAACGCTGCATGCGCAAGTGTTGTTCAACTATCTATCCAAGGCATGCTATATCTCAATATACAGAATCATACCTAACTACTCCTCTGCTTTTGACAGCATGTCAATATATGGGAAACACTGTTATATAACGACAGTGAGCGGATGTCTTCGAGTATTAATACCACAAGCAGTTGAAAACGACAAGTCATCGAAATCATAAAGTGCCTTCAAGTCTCCATCCACCTCCTTCAATTGCATCGAAAGTCGACTTCAAAAACCGCCACGCACGTCAACAGCACATGTACGTCCGATAGCTAGACCAATGCCTGGTACGGTATTCGCTGTAAGCACCTCCACCTCCATCTCCACTTCCACCTCCCTCTTCACTTGAGAAAAAGAAAGACATAAATAAATAAAAAGAAAAAACCAAAGTACTTATTACCATCTCCCTCCCTCTAGGCGATCTATAGCCCATCCAAGTAATTGCAAGCCCTTCACCCAGCAGTCTATGCCAGTCCAGCTTCCACATACACAACCACGTGTACACCAGCCGTTACGTCAAACCCCCTCTCCCTATCCGCATATATAACTACGAATTACAACTCTCCCTATGCCAGTATACCACGTTGCCACACCGCCAGATCTGCATGCGCACACCACCGCAGTCAACTCAACTGCACTCATATGCATAAACCAAGCAAAGCAAAACGCACACTGGCCTGCCGTTTAATCCCACACCATAGCACATGTACAAAATCCTCAAATGAAAGAAAGCATGTCTTGGGATGAATTTTCTACTCGTTTCACAGTCCGTCAAGGCAAGGCAAGGTAATACCTTTGAAGTTCGGCCTGCAAGAACTAACTATTACTCTCCGTTCTTGAGTCTCGAAGCGACGGCTTCACGTATCGAATGATTTGCCGAATTATATTCTAGTTTATTCGTCTAAAGGAAAACAATGTTCATCACATCCCTGAAGCCTCCCCGTACCGATACTCGGCATCATATTCGTGTCCTTGCATGCTAAACTTCAATGCCTTCTGCAAGTCTTCATCGCCCGTATCCTCTATCGCTATAGCACAGGCCATATTGGTATCCTCTTCTGCGTTTCTAGGTGACGTCTCCTGGATTGACAGTCGAATGGTTTCGTTGATTTTACCTTGAACCCTCTCGTCAGGGTTGCGTTTTTTCTTTAGGAATTTCTGCATCAGTTTCCAGCGACCAATGACGTCTTGCTTTTCTGCATCGGAGCTCTGCAGCCACTCCTCGTATCCTTGAGCTACTCTAGACGTGATGATGTAGTTCTGTACACTGCCGCCGAATAACTTCTGCACCTCTTTGTGTACCCCCTTCATCGTATGACCGAGGATCCCAGAGAGGGCTGCGAACGGCTTGGTTGCAAAACCTCCGATCCCTTTGCCGACTCCTTTGACAAAGCCGCTAGCACCCTCTTTCTGGGCCCCTTTCCACGGCTGGGTGACCAGGCCAGTAACGCCGTCGTACCACCCAAAGCTAAACTCTTTTCCTGCTGCCATGGCGCCTGACTTGAAATCGCTGATTTGTTCAAGAGGGCGCACCGTATCGTCTCTCCAAAGCTTAGGGAGGTTGTGAAATCCTTTGGTTAAACCCACCGAGATTTCCATAGGTATCTGTACAAACGTCCTTACGAAACGCCCCGCGCCTTTACTTATATGCACGCCCGTTGGGCGCAACATGTCAGGGTTTGGGCCGGGGCTAGAGTTCTGCACATCCAAGCTCGTCTGACTTTGTTCTGGCGAAGTTGACGGAGTTGATCTTTCACTTACATGTAAGATCTCACTTGTCCTTGCCATTGTCGGCACTGATTCTTGGGGCCGCTGTCGGCTGGACCCAGCGGAAATGTGGAAAGGTTTCAACGTCTCCGAGGGAATCTCGGCTACCCCCATCGCCATGCCGCTGAACGCCCTATAACATGCCGCAGCACCTCCGGATATTGGATCCCAAGGACCTTCGTCGGTGTGATATTCTTGTGGTCTAAAGAGCTTCAAGTCATGGAAATCCAAAAGATTTGCATTCGCTAAAGTACACGCAGCAAAAGCGCTCAACCTGACCTGGGTGCGCTTGATGCGCCACGCAGCGGGTCGAGATGGTACAAGGGTGCAACGGAGTCGGTCGACCTCGAGATATTGATGGAATGACTGAGCACCTGTGTCGCTGCCTCGCTCGGCCGCGATCTTGGTTGCGAGTTCTTTAGCGCGTTCCAGGCTTTTGGGCTCCAGGCAGAAGTTAATGGCATCGGCTAGTTTGTCCGCTGTGAGTTGTTTGTGAGGGATCGGATCGGGGCCGGCGTCTGCTCGCGCGACCATGGCACCCCAGAAAGGCTGGTCTCCAAAGAAGGGAACGACTACAGTCGGCCGGCCTGCGGTAATGCCTGCCGCGGTGGTTCCTGCGCCACCATGGTGAACGACGCACGAGACGTGCTTGAAAAGCCAGTCATGCGGCACGTTTCCCAGCATGAAGACGCTGTCGGGGATGCGAAGCCTGTCCGCGCCCATGCCTCCCCAGCCTTTAGAAAGGAGGACACGCTGGCCAGTCTTCCTCACGGTCTCGAAGATGAGCTCCGTCATCGCATCAGGATCGTCCAAAACGATGCTCCCGAATCCTATGTAGACGGGGGGTGGACCGGCATCGAGGAATGCCTTGAAGTCAGGGGCAGGGGTGTAGTTGGAGGCCAAGTTGAGAAAGTAGAACCCGGAGATGGATATGTGAGGGCCCCAGTCTTTTGGTTTAGGTATCAGGGCTGGAGACCAGCAGTAGGTGTGAGGGACTTTGAGACGCTGGAGCATCCCGGGGGCCCAGATCAGACTTATGGGATCCAAACCGAGACACTTCTTGCGAAACCGGTTGATGATATCACCTAGGCCCTGCCACGAGAGGACTTCGATCATAGCATAAGTTATGTAATTAGTAAGTTGAGGGTCGGCATTAGAGGATTGGATATTGGCCACTAGATCACGGGAATTAGTTATTTCCTATTCAAAACGATTCGGAAGTAAATAGAGCCTATATTTCAAGTTTGTGAAATGTATAGGAGGCAGAGCACACGAGACGAAACATAACCGAAGGGGATAGGGTAAAATCAAAAAGCCTACGTGGATGCGGAAAGGCCTGGGTGGAGGAATATGGCATAGTAAACATGATATGGAGAGGAATGCCCAGCTTCTCTGCACAATGGATATGAGCAAAGCTTGGGGGGTTGGCGATGATACAGTCGGCGACGAAGGGTCTTGCTACAGGCTCGTCATCGTCGGTAGCACGATGATCCATCCCGTCACCGGCTTCGTAACATGATCGCCAGCAGCCTTGAATGTACTCGGCAACATCTCTCCTTTGCTGACCGACATCTCCACTGAGTAGACTGCGAAAACCCGGAACCAGGCTGGGATTCTTAACCATGAATGCCATTAGCCGGGAGGGGTCGCCGCCGATGCTGAAGAATTCCAGGCCATTCTCCTGCACAAAGCCCTTGAAGTTAGGATGAGTCGCTAGACGTACGCGATGGCCGTAGGTATCTTTCAAGACTTTCCCCAAGGCAACGAAGGGTTGCACGTCTCCGCGTGAGCCCACGACCTGGATGACGATGTTCAAGGACGGGGGTGGAGGAACTCCCTCCTCGCTTCCCAAGGAAGGGGGAATGTAGGGGAGAGGAGGCGGGCGACTATCTTGGACACTCTGGACTTGTTGACGTAAAGCAGGAGTAAAGATCTGGGACAAACGGCGGCTGAACTGATTGATGCGGATATTGACACGGCCGTCATCAGTGACATGGGCACTGGTGCCCAGGCCGTTCTTTTCGTCGCGAATCTCGCCGTAGATCTCGCCGTAAGGAGGAGGGGGTATGTCGTCCTCGACCTCATTGGGAGTGAAGAGGTCAGTCTTTTGCAGGAGGACCTCCTGTCTCGTGCGTTTCGCGGGGTCAGTCTGGGCGGCAGCAGCAGCTTGTGCTTGCTGAAGTATGGATTGCTGCACGACCGTCTCTGGGACGGGTCGGCCCTCTTCTGAAGAAGATTGGGTGGCCATGGCGTCAATGAGAGAACGTAGGCTGGGTTCACCTCAGTCAGTCACGGCATCGGTGTTATATCTTGGAAAGCGACTGAGGCGAGTAGCTGAGTGAGGTGAGATAGAGGGAGAGGGGGTCGGAGACATTCTATCATAGACGCTTACTATGGTAGCAGGCATAAGTTTTGATAGTACTAATAATAAGTTAACTTGGGAATACTAGAAAATATAATATATAGATAAACTCGGCTCCCCCCGCCCAAATGCATGTTTGAAGGCGCACTCCCTTTCTGGTTAGTCGGTTACGAGATCATTTTTGGTTAGACCGGTACGAGATGCTCGCCCGTGCGCCAATTAAGAGTCGTCGCTTAGACAAGCTTAACTAAAGGGGGGGGACACGACACATCGGACAAACCCCCTACAAGTGTAAAAAGTGTATTTTTGGGGGGAGGGGGATTTCTGTTCCGTGAGTACTTTAAAACTTCGATTTTATACGTTAAAACGTACCTAGCAACCACTGAACAGAGGATGATTTGTGTGCAGGTTTCGATAAATCTGCCCCCGCCCCCCGGTCCTCCAAGCCTCGTATACCTATAGAGCTGGGCCAATCATGCCATGCGGGTTTCGAGATCAAGGCTAGACACACGCTGGTTGTAGGGCTGCTTCGTAATTGATTAACTCCTCTTGACCGGATGTCGTGAATTGCGAAGGCACGCAGAAAGATCCTGAGAGTCGATGTCAATGGAAGGCTGCGAACAGTCGAGAGTATATATATACGAGTGGGAGTGCTTCATGGTAATGGTCCCAGATCAATCCATTAAATCAATCGTGCAAAATTTTATAGCCACGAGCCATTCTTTTTTCTTCCTCTTCCTCGCTCTACAATTTAACTCTCATCCTTTCTTTTCGAATTCACTGCCAAAATGCCAGACGCTTGTCCCCTCCAAAGCACTGCCAACTGCACCGTGGGAAAATGTCCCCTCAGCTGCGCTCAGGTAAAATATCTACCCACGCTTGCTGGCAATGCCGTCTATGCTGTTGCTTTTGGCCTGCTTCTGATAGTGCAGCTTCGGCTTGGCATTAAGTACAAGACTTGGGGATTCACGGTCGGCATTGTCTGTGGTCTCCTTCTTGAGGTTGTTGGATATGCCGGCAGAATCATGCTGCATGGCAACCCATTTGACTTTAACAATTTCATCATGTAAGCCTTCTCTTCCCCCTCAATCATCCATCCCGTCCAAATCCGAGAACAGAGTCCTGACAACCCTCATAGCTATCTCGTCCCTCTAACAATCGGCCCCGCATTCCTCACCGGCGCCCTCTACCTCTGCCTCTCCCGAATAATCATCGTCTACGGCCAGCAAATCTCCCGCTTCAGCCCGCGCACCTACGCAATCACCTTCATGACAAGCGACTTCATCTCGCTTGTCCTTCAAGGCGCCGGCGGCGGACTCGCAGCCACAGCCGATGATAACTCTGGGAGTGAGACAGGAAGGGCCATCATGGTCGCTGGCGTTGTATTTCAAGTCGTCTCGCTGCTCGTCTTCATGGGATTGTGGCTGGAATTCATATTCCGCCTGCGCAGGACGAGTGAGAGCGCCAAGGATGTACGCTTCCTCGAGCTGAGGGTCACGAAGAAGTTCACTTGGTTCCAGTATGCGCTCGGCGCGGCTGTTGTGCTCATCTTCATCCGTTCAGTATACCGTGTTGCAGAGCTGCAGCAAGGTTTCAATGGACCCATTGCCAATGACGAGGTTTCTTTTATGATATTGGAGGGGCCGATAATTTTCCTGGCAGTACTTGCGATGACGGTATTGCACCCTGGTATTGCGTTTGGTGGCCGGTGGAGCAGCGCGGACTGGTCGGTCAAGCAGCACAGAAAGGCTGATCTTGCCACGGGTAGCTCGTATGTGGAAGACCATCACTTACAACAGAGGTATAAGCCTTGAAGTTATTCGGCCGAGGATAAAACTGCGAGTGTAGTATCTCGGATAGATTTTCTTGTGGTGATTTTAGAACTTGTCGAGGTATATGTATTAGCTCGATCAGCAATACAGTTCGGATTAGCAGGTGTTTTTGGTCACTGTATTGACGGAGGAAGTCTTAGCTGGAAACCCTGGAGACATATCATAGATAGCGCCCTCTACTTCTAGAACAACCAACAACAGATACCCACTGCATCATAGCTTGATATACTCCGTGATTGTCCGCCACTCTCCCAATAGCCCCCACGGCTTCGTCTGGAACACAGCTTCAAGCGTGCCTGGATAAGTCGGGCTGGGCACGATGCTGTGGTCAAGCTTCCGAAAGTCAAAAGGCATCTCGTCCAGGTTGTGAATCCGAGACTCATCATCGGGCAGGGGGAGACCATGCAGTCTCGAAGTCTCGTCTGGCAGTTCTTGCCCGTTGAGATGCCTTTCTTCCAGCTCGATCACTCGTTTGGCAGTTACGTATGCATGATGTGCATTCCAGAGCGCTTCTCGCCGAGGCGCCAATTGCAGAATTTCTAGCGCGCGTCTTCGTAGTGCGGGATGGCGGCATTTCAGCGCGGTATAGTACAGAGGCGCCAGGATTTGTATGTCGAAAGACAGCGGTTGCCGTGTTGGCATTCCCACGCCTGAATTAGCGATCTGTTCCGCGTAATGCACAAGCTCTTCAAAGTCGGTGTGGTAAGAGTCTGTGGCCGTTTCCTCAGCTGTGGTGCAGACTCGTATCCAGATGTAAATGACCTTGTATTGTACCAAAAGTAGATTGAGCGTGTCCTGTTTCGCCGGGTTACCGGCAGCCTGCATTCGTCCAAGAAGTCCGTCTAGCTGGTCGCACCATGCGTCCAGCCTTGTTTGAAGCTTAATCTGTTCAACGAAATCGTCGACGTCAATTTGGAACATAGCTGCCTTAAGACTGGCTTCGCGAATAAATCGGAGGCAGGTAACTGAGATTTCAACGAGCCGTCGTCTAGAATCAGTAAGGTCTTCCTGGGGAGAGTCTTCTTTAGCTGTAGGAGCGTATATTGGCGGAGGTATTCTGCCAATGAGAGAACACAGTATACCCAGACGTGAGAACATTGGAACAACGTGATCTTCGATGGCTTTATGATCGTTGGACGAGAGATTGAACCCTATATCCGTGGCTGCGTCGCAATAGCTATTGCGACGGAGCGCGGCTAGAATATTGAATCCACTCTGAACGTGAAGCATAGAAGATTCAACATTGCCCCTGAGGAACTCGATACACGTGAACAGAAGGCAGCAGACCAAAGGTACCAAGTTCGAGTTGGGATGCGCTTGAATTCGAGCTGACAGGCTCTTCACTGCCCTGTTCCACTCCTGTTGAGCCTCGGGATTGGCATTGACATAGCTTGCCGGATGCCGTAAAGATGATTCGACGTCTTGATAAATGACGCTGATGGCTGATACGGAATGTCGAATTGATGGTTCGGAGTGTGATAGTTGCAATACAAGCTTGCTCCAGAACTTTGAATCAAATTGTCCGTCCAACTTCGCAGCAAGATTCTGGTGGAAGAAGTCGAGGCCGCGGTCATTTACGAAGAACACCGGTTGACTTTGCGTAGGAGGCAGATATACCGTGATTACGTTTCGACGTCGTGGTGCTGCACGTGCGTTGTTGTACTCGCATTTTCGACCTCCAATGGCGCAACGTCGACAGATAGGTTTCACTTCATCGCATTTCACTCGACGAGCTTTGCAAATGCTGCATCCAGTTCGAACTTTGGACATACTTTCTCGGGTTCTCTTTGGCGCAAGATCCAGTCCAGGGGTCATGATGAATGATGCTGCGACAAAAGGCAGGCTTGTTATTCAAAGAACTGCCGAAATAAACAAATCAAAAACATCCGGTGACAGGAGGAATGCAAGCAGAGGATGGTTGAAAATGGCCGATTGATAGAATCTTGTCATCATCTTCAACATCAGGATGGGTGTGGGTCGTAACTTAAAGCCATGGTCAGATCTAACCCGAAGTGGCCTAGAGCCCCTATTTTACTACCGTATAAAAGACAGAAACGGGAACACTGTATTTTATTCTGTTTATTTTCTGTAGTATCATCGCAGTTACTCTACTCCTAACAAGTCTCACAGAGGCAGAGCGATGAGACTTTGCTCTAAGAATGATTTCAACGATGATCAAATCAGGTTTGAGAGCGACTTGGCCGCAGCGCAGCCCCTTCTTTTCCCTACTTCAGTTCAAAGTATTTCAAATTGGGGGAAATGGGGATTGATATTAGCTAAGTGTTATATTTAATAGCGTATGAGTACAACGTAGGATTAAAATATGAGCGTGAACTACTTTCCTGATATATTATGAAGTAGAAGCCGAAAACCTTCTTCCTGGGAAACAAGACTTAGTAGTCAAAAGCTAGAAATTGTATCATAGCAAATCAAACCTCGCTTTTACTTGACATTAGGAACCATCTTTAACTCCGCCAACTGCTTAATAGCATCCCTAATCCCTTCCTTCGTATCCACCCACCCACTCCACCCCAACCTCCGACTCTTATCCATACTCTCAATCCTGCTCCACCCCCCCAGAATCTCCGCATCAAGTGTCGCAAAACACTCCCTCAGCACCTTCTCATTCCTCCACGGATTCAACCCAACATCCAACCCCTCCCTCTC